TAAACTCATGAGCCAAACAATTTACGACAGACTGGCAATTTCGAGTCAGTCACAGCCCTCACAAGGCTGGGCCTCACGCTACTGTACAACCAGCACCAACCGAAACTCGGTTACTTGGTACAAGACGTTAACCCTGCACATATGATCCCGGCACATTGGGGAAACAAGGCATATATATGTATGATGATGTATCTATGATGGTCAGACCCAGGGATTCTAGGTAAATCGGGAACTGACCATCCCTTGGTTGTGTTGGCATTTGGAATATGTAGAGATGCTTATTTGTGCAGGTACCCATACAGAAGGGATTTTCTCCCAAACAAACGGCGAGCACTCTCAGGCTCCAGGTACCAGCACCTCTGAACTACCAGAGACAATTGGTATTAGTAGTTGCATTGCATATAGACTGTTGCATATATGTTCAAATCATTCAGGGCACATGACAAACCATGTGTCCCAATACAACTTACAAATAACGTACTCACCATCTGTACACACCAATGCATTTTCAACACTACTGACTCATCACCCTTTCAGACTTGTAGTAGAGTTACTAAGGCTCTGGAGCTTCAAAGGGGTCCCATACAGGTATCATAAATAAACTCTCAAGGAATATAGCATGCCCTCACTTACAGTCAGCACAACAGAACCGTCGGCTGTAAACACACTCATAGCCAAGATTTGCAGAGGGGTTTTTACTTGGGTTTTCCAATCTCCACCATTTACAGCATGGCACCAAACACAAACGCATTGGTATTGTCACAAGGGAATCTTCCCTTAAACAAAGACTAACCATAGACTTATTGGCATCACACACCTTCGCTACCCCAAGTCTCAACTCCCTCATACCCTCCGAGGAGTTTCCTTACTATACACACCATTGATCTACCTTTACAGCTATCACTCAAGCAGGAGTTGAAGCTTCGTTAAGTAAGACCAATATCATCAACACAGTAAACGGCTACCATCTACCCTACAAACTGGCACTTACATGGCATAAAATGGGCAATCCTTTCCCCGCTAAAAGCAGCTGCTGTGGCATGGGGTAAATCATGGTCAGGGTCATCAATCCGTTGTTACTCAGACAACTAAGCACATGTCATATCATCAACAAATGCCACTCATCATCCATACGATCATGGTATTGCTGGGGAACTCACTTGGTTGGCCACTTACCACATTCTTTTACTTTCATGTACCAGGCGGGGGTATACATCCTTGCCGACAATTGTCTCATTTATATTCCAGGCATGTTCATCATACGCTTCCTACAGCCGCCCATACAGTCACGGCCACTCTTTCGTTCCAGAGACAAAATCATGGATTAGACATACTCATGCAGCATAGCATGCACTATCCCACCTAGCACTTTCATCCCATACTTGTAGAACGCACCTATTCACCTGGCTTTAAAGAATCTCATTGGAACACGACATAGCTCAACCTGTGGAATAACATTTCTCCTAGGTTTTGCTTCATTTTTTGCCACCTTAAACTAAAACCATCTCACACACCATTAATTATATATTTTACAGGCATTCAACAACACAGGATAACCTATGGCCAAAACTACCATAACTTCATGCTATCATACCAGACAAGAATATACTATACCATCCCCCCACGTTCCACTCAGAGATTACCAATAGCCTTCCAACTTTTCCATCCTTATCGGACTTATTAGAGCTACAACCTTTCAATTATACTACCAAGTTGGCCATTACCAGCCATGCACACTGCCTTTTATGCCTTTCTCAGGCCAGAGAATCCACTACCATAATCACCACTCAGACAGATCATTGTCTTAAACGATCCCACGTATGTAAACACATATATCATTACCTATTGGCTCTACCACATTCCGAAACGATGCAACACGCACCAACAGTAGAGATAACATACTATCCTACCCACAACAAATGGTGTCCAGTTGCGGTCCTAGATTCCTACCTTCAAAAATCCTTCAAGGAATTAAATACCGTAATGCATTTAAGGAAATGTCTGGTTAATTTGTATATATTGTTGACTGTATTAAATCTTTGATTATTCTTTTTGCCCTCTTTATTTACAGGCCTACCGTATCGTCGGTCTCGGCACACCACAACCGACTTGCTCCCTTTATACTATCCTACGCTTATGCTGGAACCTTACTCCATATACGGCTATTTGCCCCGAACACAAATATATATATATATAAATATATATATATATATATATATATATATATATATATAATATATATATATTAATATAATTGACGTCATTCTAAGTGTATTTTAATGTTAATATATATATATAATTAATATTAAAATACACTTTTAATAATGGTGTATGTGTGTTTATGTGCATGTATATATGCTCTAAGTACTTTTTATGTACTTTACAAACTTTTATTTAACTTTCACTAACTTTTTAAACTTTTTCAGGCACTAGGGGACTTGTCTGAGAGCTCAGGCAGGCCCCCTGCAGGCACTACACAAGCCGGCTTTTCCGGCCATGTGATCGTGAGGACCCCGCGATCACATGGCCCGGGAAGGCCGGATCAGGTAGTGGGGGTCAGGCCTGAGCTCGCAGGCACACCGCAGGATTGCGATTTCCAGAGGGGGATCACCAGCGATCAGGTAAGTGGCTAGTTACTAAATGACATACCAGTTATGTACGCAGTCGTTACCGACTGTTTTTTGGCGGACATACCTGGTAAGTCATTGGTCAGGAAGGGGTTAAAACATAAAGCAAAGTAGGGACTACTTTGTCTTGTGTTTCTTTCCTGTCTGACAATTCTTGACAAAGGGTGAAATTTAAGGCAAGCTCTACTATCTTGACAAATGAAGTGTTGGAGCTTGTCTTAAGCTCCACACTTTGCACTTTGACAAGATTGCCAAATACATAAGAACAAGTTGTCCCTACTTTTTCTTATGTGTTGCAGATAAATAGAAGAAAAGAGAGCAGATTCCGAAAGAGAAAGGAAACAGCAGCAGGAAGGTAAGTTTGAAGTGACAGATTCACTTTAACTTGCATAGTTATTTTATTGTGTGATTGCCGTAAGTTTAATGTAATGCAGTTGGGGCTAGTCCTACACGGAAAGAAAGTACTGTGTGGTAGTTCCTTTAGGAACGGTGTATCCTATTTGGTCATTTCAGGGATTCCAGTAGCAAAATTTTCAGGCCTGCTATCTGTCTGTGGAAAGTACCAGGGACCTTTAACAAAAGAGCTAGAGCCACAAGTGCTTTGGTAAAAGCAATAGTGGAAGGCAATGCAGATAGATGGCTCTGTGCTTAGTACCGCTCTTTCAGTCTCGCTTTATTGAAATTCCCCTACTGAGTCCAGCATCCTTAGGATGATATAGTTTTCTGACTTGATGCCAGGGCTCAAGCGACAATCTCTACTGGATGACACAGTTCCAGTGGTCTGCATCATCACATACATAAATGCCACAGAGCACTTAGCAGCAATAATACACAGCACGAAGATACACAATTAATCACTGAAATCAAACCCTAAGACTAAAGTCTAGACTAAAGTTCGGATAATTCCAGTATAGATTAGAAAAATAACTTCAGTCTTTTTAGGGCATTTGTCAATGTACAGATTTCACAAAAAAGAACTCTGAATTAGGCTGAATTGTGTTTGGATTTCAGCCTGCTCATATGCAACTGAATTGCTAAATGTCAGATTTGAATAATTGTAGTCCAGGATCAGAATGTGAAAATCCAGAACTGAATTATAAAAATCCAGGTATGGCAGTGCAAGGATTAACCATGTGGCAGCTGGTCAGCTCTTGCTAGTCAGCCATTATGGTGAAATGTTTAAGAAAAAAAAAAAAAGCAGGTAAATTTAATTTGAGAATCAAGATTTGAAATAAATTTGTTTGGTACATAAGAAAATCATATATTTCAAATAGAATTTACATTTTATATGGGATTCACATGCATAATCTACTAATTTAAAACCAGACACTGGATAGTACCAAATTAAAATTGCAAATTCTGCTTTTTATTTTAAATCCTGAATTTTACTTACAAAGAATTTTGTTCATCTGCACTATTCTGTTTGTAGGGAAAAAAACATTAATATCAAAAACAAAACTGCAATGTAAAACCAGGTTGGAAAGGGGCAACCTCCTCCCCAAAAATCCTACCTTTATCTCCCCACCATAAGTCCACGTTTACATGTCCCTAAACAGCCTTAACCTTCATACCAGAAGAACCTACAAATTTAGGCTTGTTACGTCCTATAAAACTGTAAAATGTGATACTTCAACAATTTCTTATTACATATCTATTCATTTTCAGCTTATTCTTAATTCCTGACCAGGGCTGAAAGTGTATGTTCCCATACAGAGCCATTTACCTTAGCAACCTACGGCATGTTTGCCATGCACAACACACTGGCTGACAAAGTCAAATGGGCCAAAGGATTTCCAGCTGGCCCAGAGTGCTACTGTGAGAACGCAAGGGAGCTTGTGGTCTGCACCTTGTGAGGTTTTAGTCACACCACAACTAACCCTCTGCTGCTTCTCCTTGATGAACAATATTACAGTGGGTTGCTATGGCAACTCTCTGGCGCAATTGAAAGTGCAAGGTAGGGGAGAGAGAGGGACAAGTGGTCTGTACCCATAAAAGTTGCAGACTGAAAGTTTCTGTCACAGGACCACTAGGAATTAATAAGTGTGCATAATCACCTTGCTGCAAAAATGGCAGGGAAGAGAGAGAGAAGCAAAAAATAATTTGCAAACACTTTTTGATTTTTTTAAAATTAATAATATATTTTAAAAAAATAAAATGCTCATACACTCACAAAACACTGAAGACAACCACATATACAGCAATCCCCCACAATACCACAAATGCCCTCACTATGCATACACAATTACTACAACTTACACACTTAACATTAGAGAGCAGACACATACATAACAATGTGCAGCTCACATACATATTACAGCAATAGAGCTTGCCAACTTTAACCTTTTTAACATACTTTAAGATTGAAAAACTTACCATCAGCAGCAAGTATGACAGTTGTTTCATCATAAAGGTCACTTATTTCTGCTTTAGTCCAAGAGTATAGAAATGCTGGGTCTGAATGAGAGAAAATAATAAAAAAAGAAAACAATCATATGATATGAAGGCAAGTGTTTCTCATTAAATGTTTACCCATAAAGGAATACTATAGTGTCAGATATACAAACACGTATTCCTGACACTACATATTTTAACTATTTTGGTCCCCAGTGCCCCTTAGATCCCAGTAATATGGTGATTTTACTCACCTTGTCTCCCACGCCGTGCCGGCCTTCCGCATTTCACCTCCATGACTGAGATCATCAATCTTGATGATCTCAGCAAATCCAATGCTTTAACATAGGAAATAATGTATCAATGCATGCAAAGCGTGGAGATGCTGAATGCCTGTGCTACACACTGTGCAGCATTGGACAAGGCAGCACATCTAGTGGCAGTCTCAGTGACTGCCCCAGGAGGTGTTACTAGGCAGCAATGTAAACACTCTCATTTCTGTCAGTGCTGTATTTAGTGCAAGGCTGACAAGGCATTTGCCTTGGGCGGCACTTTCAGGGTGGCAGCAAAAAATGCAGACCCAAAAGCCACAGCAGATACCTTGTCTGCCTCTTGTCCTGGGGGCCCAAGAAGTGGTCGGCTGGCCACTTTGAGCCCCCCCCCCCGATCTGATTAGTTTGTAGGCGGGCGGCGAGGGAGCCCTTTCCCCTGAGCTCTTCCTGCTCTGCTCAGTGAATGTGAGTCTGTCACTGAGAGTGTATATGTGTCTGTCACTGAGTGCGTCTGTCACTGAGTGCGTCTGTCGCTGAGTGCGTCTGTCGCTGAGTGCGTCTGTCGCTGAGTGCGTCTGTCGCTGAGTGCGTCTGTCGCTGAGTGCGTCTGTCGCTGAGTGCGTCTGTCGCTGAGTGTGTCTGTCGCTGAGTGCGTCTGTCGCTGAGTGCATCTGTCGCTGAGTGCATCTGTATGTCTGTCTGCCAGTGAATGTGTAGGTCTGTCAGCATAGCCAATCCTGGGCGGGTGCATGGGGTGCACAGCGCCCAGGCGCTATGTGAGAAGAGGCGCATTGTGGCATTTGGCCCCGCCCATCTTGTTAAGACTCACTCTGCCTCCTGTCTGAAAGCCCTTTTGGGCTACTGGAAGACTGGTTGGCTGGGCTGGATGGTGAGCACACACGGGGGAAGGGCTGCATAAGGGAACAGGAGGGGAGGGGGGTTCAGGAGGGGAAGAGGGGTTAAAGAGGGCACAAAAGGGGTAGGGGCTAAAGATGGCACAGTAAGGGCACAGGAGGGGAGGGAGGCGAAAGACTGCACAGGAGGGGAAAAGAGGACACAGAAGGTAGGAGGCTAAAGAATGTACTGGAGAGAAGAAGGGCTACATAAGAGCACAGGAGGGGATAGGGGCTAAAGAGGGCACAGAAGGGGAGGGGGATAAAAAAGATACAAGAGGGGGTTTCATAAGTGGAGAGGAGGATAGAGGGGCAGGGCTAAAGAGACACAAAGATGCTGGGGGAAAAAGGCACACAGATGGGGCTGAGATGGCACAAAGAGACAAACAGAAGGGCTGGTGGGACAAGGAGAAACATAGAAGCACTTTGGGGCAAAGAGACACAGAGGGGCTGGGGAAGGGGAAAAAGACACACAAAGGAGTTATGGGAGAAACAGATGCACAAATTTGCTGGGGGAGAAAGACGCACAAAGGGGCTGCGGTAGACAAAGAGGCACGCAGAAGGGCTGTGGGGATGCACAGGCACAGAAGGGCTGGGGAGAGGCACACAAAAGGGAGGGGGGGAAAGATACACACAAAGGGGTTAGAAATAGGTGCCTGCTGGCTAAAGACAGAGGCCAGCCACAGTTGCAAGCGCCCGCCAGCTGGCTAGCCACAGCAGCCAGCCTGCCTGCCAACCAGCCACAGCAGCCTGCAAGTCACAGCAGCCATCAAGTCACAGCAGCCAGCCAGCAACAGTAATTAAGGTGAGAAGAGACAGCTTTAGTTGGGTATCACATAGCTTTGTTATATCACTATATTGTGAATGAGGGCCTGCATTTTAGAGAAAACAATCTCTAGTGCCCTTTAGACTCCATTGTAGTCTCTAATAGGGCATTGAGGGGACTCTTAACATACAGTTTACATATTTGTGGAATTAATATTCTTGAAAACATTAAAAATAATTGTGGGTGCTTTTTACATTTTATATTTTAAAAAATGTAAAACACACTGCATCCCGTACACACACACTCAGACACACCCAACATCCCCTGCACACACACACAAACACACTGCATTCCGTGCACAGACCAGACACATACTGCATCCACGGAACATGCTCAGACACTATTCACTACACACACTGCATAGCAAAATGGATGTGGTTGTGTTTTGGTGTGCATGCTTGTGGTGAGGAGGGGGGGAAGGCATTTAATCAATTTTTTTTACAAAAAAATTACGGTACAGCTGAGGTGGATTATTATGAAAGCTTAATGTCATCTATAGGAGGGGTTATCAAATGTATTTTTGGACTGAAGTCGCTGGTCCACATAGCAACACCGCTGGGGATGGGATATAGACATAAGTGGAAGGGAATGGTGAGATAAATCACACAGGGACATTTAGAAAAATAAGCATACTGAAAAAAAATATGCATGCACATACAGTAACATCCAGTGAAGGACACTCATACATACAAACATACATACACACACACACTAATCCTACAATGGCCCCTGGACATTCCAGTGCTTCTTGACCGAGCTCACAGAGCATTCAAGCCAAGAAATGCTCCCAAATCTTCTCCCAGAGACATTGTATGAAGAGTACACTATTTTGTACTCGAGGAAAAAATACTCTGCAAAACCTGCACAGCACCATGCTTGCGCTCTGAGAACACACAGATACAACTGTTTCCGGATCTATCTTGGACGACCCTCCAGGGAAGGAGAGCACTTCGCCCCATGACGCTGGCCCTACAATCCAAGATCCTGAAGTATCGCTAGGGATACCCCTTTTCCCTTACAGTACACAAGGATGGCCAGCAGCTTACCATCAAAAGAGAGAGAATGTTCCAAACTTTCTAAAACAACCAGGACTGCCCAATGTGGACATTCTGGATTGGTACAGTCCTCAAGCTCTGACACCGACACCATTCTTACCTCAGAGGCCTCACTGGAAGGCCACAATGGGTAGAAAATGAGCACAGTCTCTGCAGACATCAGCAAGCTCATCCCCACCTACACTTAGACGAAGAACGCTAGGCACTTGAATGAACTCTCAGGTCATATAATAACCCCTCTCCTTCACTCTCCTTAGGTTGAACAAGAACTTTCTGCCCAGTTCAATGTATGCCTAGCCTTCTCATTTAGATGCCACATGAAGGTCCGGGTATCGGGGTTCTCAATCCCTACTCTACAGTATGTTTAACTCTGCTTTGCCCGCAGGGGAACTACGCAGGCTAGATAATGCAGTTTATAATGTTGATGTTGTTTTTATTTTCAGCCCCTGACGAAGGTGCACTACTATAGCACCGAAACGCGCGTCGGGTTGAAGGATTTTTTCCTTCACTTTTTCACTCTTTCTCACTTATAGGGCACTGT